ACCCCCGACCCCCCCGCCATCTTGGGCGCCTCCATGAAGCCCAGGGAGGTGGCGAGGAGGTTACCCAAGCCAGGAGGAAGAACGAAGGGAGGAGTCCCCAGCCGAGTCTCTACGGGAATCACTGTGGAAGAAATTCCTTTCGGAAAGATCTGAAAGCTTCTTCAGACCCATGGACACCTGGGATAATTGCAGTATACATGTAACATTATTTAAAGACCTATATTTGTTTCTCCTTCCATCTAATTTAAACTGAATAAACTTCTGATTGCTCAGTCCAAGCAATGGTTGGCTCTTCTGTAATGTTGCTGCCATTTACCAACAGCAAGCCTAAAATAATAATTGCATCTTGTTGGTTCAGTTGCTATTTGAAGAAAGCTGTTTGCTGTTGCATCTGGTTCCTACCATTATTAATAGACTTTATTTTCCAGTTTATGTCTGAGAAGTTAAAGTTTCCCTCAATGATACAATTTACGGTAATATTTTCTCTCTAATAACATGATAAGTGTAGTTGGAGAGCATTTTTGAGACAGTCATACTATTTTAGTTATACTCTTCTTTCTTGTTTCTTTATAGTCCATTTAATCTTTAATTTTGGCATTGGTTCTTTGGTTATTTCTTGAACAAATAAGATAAAGTTAGTAAATTATCAATTTTATTGCAGTCTGATACATGGAGTTTGGACAATTTATTGATTTATAGTTTTGTGTGGTGTCACCGTTTTTAAGCAGGGCAGCAATACGCAGAGCGGCAGATGCTCGCTATTACCCCCCGCCCCCTCTCCCACGGGAAGGGAAAAAGGAGGAAACGGGAGAGAGACTTACAAATTGAATATCAAAACAACTTTAATAATAATACCACTACAATTAATAATAAGAGAAACAGTGCAAAACACACAACGCCGACGCGGAGTTTCCCGGCGCTGGCGGCTGCGGGCAGGCACCGGGAAATCCCGGACCGGATACGCTGGTAGGCGGGAACGGAACTAGGGAGCGCACGGATAGGGATCTGGATCAGGATCGCAGGCAGGACAGCGAGCAGGGTCCTCTGCAGAAGCCGGCCATGGACGAAGAGAGCGAGACCCTCGTGATCCCCCAGCTTTAAACTGTGACGTGCACGGCGCGGAATACCGTGTTGGTCAGTATCGGGTCTACTGTTCTGTCTGTCCCTCCCTGCAAGTGCGACCCTTTACAGCTCCTCACTTGTGGGACTTAAGAGTTCTGTTGGTGACCTTGGCTGCTATAGTAATAATTATAAACAGGGGCCTTTCCTGCCTTCCATTCCTACATTAGCTCAGTAAAACTATGAACATTAGATATTACCAGCTTTGGAGCGGACACTGTCTGTAAAATACACAGCCAGCTTCAGAAAATTGCAGTGACTTAGAAGAACTTATCTGTAAGGAAGATTCACTAAAAGAGAATCGATTCTGTTTTAACCAAAACCTGGACAACAAGGTATTTAGATCTACGTTAGTCAAACATGTAGCTGTTGCTTCATAACTGTTTCTGGATCCTAAGACATGAGAAGTGTTTGTCTGGAGAACAACTAAGCAAGTGTGAGCTTTGATATGTTTCTTCTCTTAAGAGAAGACCACAATAAGCTTGCTCGTATTCTAGAAGGTATTCTTGAGGAAGACATCTCATGTTTGCGTTTCCGAAGCTTTTTTTGCAACCTTGTGCTGCATTGAATGAATGGGGTCCTTAGTGGTGGTTTCTGCTGTGTCAGTTGTTAATTTTCTTGAGGATTAACACCTGGGAAGAAGGGAGTGAGAAAAGGAAACTCCTAGTAATTTGCTTTTAATTATCTAAACCTTCATCTAGTCTAAAACCATGCTTCTAGCATGATTATTTGAAGTAAAAAATAGTAATAGAATTTCAGTCTCGGGAATTTGGTGGGAGTATTTGGCGACAATATTCTTGTCATCTTCTGGGTGTGTCTATTGGAAATCCCGAAAAATGGCACCTGCACATATTACGGGAAATCTTGTAGTGTCTGCATGACTTTACTGACCTCTCTTGCACAGAATACCAAATCTTTCTTTACCTACAGGTCAGTTACACATTAGGATGGAAGTTTACTGCATTTTCAGAAAGCTGAGACAAAGTAGGTAGCTTGGGTGATCTTTCTTTCTAGTCCCAAGGTGTAGTGAATAAGCAGATGCTGGTCTGAGTGTTTCTTTGACATGTCATTGCAAGATAAACTGTTGTTCCTTGCTTCTTGATGCTTTCTTCCACATTCCCTACCTCCTTACCTCTCATCGGTTTCCATCAGAAGATAGTCAAAAGGTACACCTAAACACTGCTGAGTTTACAGACCTCGAAGGGGATAATACTAAGCTTTTGGGATCCGCAGAAAACCATATGTCAGGATGGGATGTTTGTTTCTTGCTTAGCTTTCCAGTACTCTTCATGGCACAGACCAATGAGTTGTCAGTTTCCAAGTTAGTTTTTCAACCTGGGGTTTGAAGGTTTCTCTGTTATTTAGAGCAGATTTTTCTAAAGGCAGTGCTTGTCTCACTAAATCAAAGTTTAAATTCATGGAGCTGATGTACCCACTTTCTGGTTTCCTAATTTGTGTCATGGATTTCTTGTTGTGTTTGCTTAATTATTTATTTAAATAAATGACCTAGTTATTCAGAAAACAGTACGTAACTGTTTAAGTTGCTGGGGTTTTCATAGTCTATTCAGTTGGAAGATAGAAGGGCACACTCCGATTTTGGAAATTCAGTTGTGACTTTCATTATTAATAGGCTCAGATGATTAAAAAGAAGACTGATCTGTTTGGGGAGGAGGCAGGTCTCTGGGGTTTGTCTTCTGCTGGATCATGTCCTACTGTGTCTATTTAACTTAACTGTGGGCTTGGTTGGGGAAAATCACACACTTTCTACACCTAAAATTTGCGCTATTCTGGTCCTCCTTCCTGCATAGCATCTACAGACTTTTCTGTTACTCTCTTCACTTTATTGCACGTTTGCTTTCTTGCACCCATTAATTCTTTGTGGTTTTGTATTTGGTGCCATGTTGCCTGGATTCAGAATCATTTAACAATTTTTTTTTTTAATTGCTTCTGTCTGTTTTTTATCACTTTTTGAGAGTGATTGCTTAGCTTTTTTCTCTTTTTAATTGCCTTTTTAAGACAGTTCTTGTAATTAAAATATAAATTACTTCAGAGTTTCCAGTGAAGGTCTATAAACATTCACCCACTGTGAGAATTTGTAAGTACACTAGTAGTGCGCAGTTATGGATCACTGGAATGTCAGATAGCCATTACTGTGTTCATACTGTAACTAAATAAATGCATAGGCTGTCAGGTAAGTGGAACAAGTATTAAAATTGTAATGGAGAGGTCATAATAAATCAAATGATGATTTGGCAATAAGTTACGTGAAGCTAGAGGATCCGTAGCCGTTTATATTAGACAGATTTGTCCTGATAGATTACTGCACATAAAAGTGACCTTAGAAATGCATTGTTTTGCTTTTCTTTACTTTTTTTTTTTAATATATCTTAGTGTACTGAATACTTTCAGGAGTGACCATTCCTGACTATGTGTTGACATGGTCAAGCCAGTTTTAAAAGAAACTTGAGAGATCTATTTAGCAACATCTAATTGATGAAATTTTCTCTTTCAGGTGGAAATAAGGATAACATCAGAGCAGGATGCAAGAAATGTGGCTACCGTAAGTCTGTAACAAGCAATATGAAGTTACAGTGTTTTCTTCAATTTATGATGTTGGAGCTGCCTTTTGAGGAGGGGCGAAATAAAAAAGTGTTCTCCCTTGTTGTCCAGACGTTTGTCAGTTTAAGTTACCATAATTCTATTTGTTTATTTCCTATTAATTCTCTGGGTCCTCACACCGATTGCTGCTTTTGAGAACACCTGAGATTCTCAGAAAGAAAAAGTATGCTGTTGTATTCGTATGTACTAAATTTGCAATGCAATAACCTGAGAAACTTTGAATTGAAAGTGTGGTCTTTGATATCTACTGAGATTAGCCTTTGTGCTTCTTCTGAGTCTCACTGCAAATTTAGGCAGGCATTTCAGCTCAAGTGAAGTCCAGTCTGTTTAAAAAAAATAAAAAATTAAAATCTGTATGATCTTCTGCACTGAGAAAACATACTTCTTCATGCATTCTGTATTTCAAGAAACCGTTAATTTTGTTATTTACAAGTTCTGTGGTTAGCATTTAGCTCAAGCTTTGCATTATGCTCTGATCATGTAAGCATGTCTGGGGCTACTCTCTTGATGAATGGAGACAGGTTGGAGTGAAGATTTTAATTTGTTAATCACTAACTCTTATTTTTGGAGCAGTGGAGGGGTGGACACTGTTTTGCAGTGAAATTGTGTTGGACTTTTAACAGAGTGATTTAATTATGGGTTTTTTGAGTGTTGTGTGGGGTGAAAGGGAAGAAGGCTTGCTTCATTCTGTTGCTGTAGACTTTGTCTCCAATAGATTTTGTTGATGAATTGAGAGCATGGATATCAGTATAGATTTAGTGCTTAATTTCTACATGCATCAAGTATCAGAAGCTTTCTGGAACAGAAGGAAACTTGTAGTCAAATCACACGGCCTGTATTCATGTTTCTAAAAGCTCTGTCTTCAAGATGGATTTTGATATGAAGAAGATTAGTTTATTTCAATTGCTACTTAAATTCCTGTGTCTTTAGCTTAGCTTCCCAAACCGTATCTTCAATTTGTTATATTTCTCTTTATTATTCCAGTAGCTGTATTCAGCACAAGGCTTCTAACTCTGGCCATGATTATTGAGATGTAACTTAGAAGACTAACTTAGAAAACTAAAAGTACTGGTCAAGTAGTAGCTTAGTAATATGTACTCATTGTTAAATATTATGTCTCATAAGCAAGTAGAATTCTTCTGTTTCACTAGAGGGAGACAGAAAGAGCAATATAACACACTTGCCATAGTTTTTAAAACACTTCACGCTTTTAGGTAATTTCTTCAGGAAGAATCTGAGACCATTAAAAAAATAGAAAGTAAAGGCTGGACAAAATCTTTAAATTAACAGAAATAAGAGACAGGTCATAAAGCACTATTTAATGGAGTAACACTGCACAACCTGTCAAAAGTCTTTGGGGCTTTTTCAAAATAAGCCTTCCCCATCCTCATTCACAGATTGCAGTGCAGCCTTTTTTTGACTTCTCAAAACTAAATAACACTAGAATGGATGTTCTTTAGTTTTTAATGTTTTTTGGTAAATTGTAATTTTTCTCTCTGAATATTTGTTTTGTTCAGCTGGTCATCTGACATTTGAATGTCGAAACTTCCTCCGAGTAGATCCCCAAAGAGATATTGTTTTAGATGTTAGCAGCACTAGCAGTGAAGACAGTGAGGAAGAAGAACTACAGAGATTGCAAGCCATGCGTGAAAAAAAGAGTAAGGTGTTTTTTCTGTTTTTGTTAAAGAGCAAATTGGATATTGGTCTTCTGAAGTACTGGAACTCTCATTTCATCCTTTTTGATAACTACTAGTAATTCTTTTAGCCTGTGTTTTAAAAGTAGGTCTTTTACTTCATGTGTTCAGACTTCAGAGATTTGATACACCCACATCGTTTTTTTTTGTTGTTATTAGTTCCTGTCATAGGAAATGTACCCATTTGCAACATCTCAAAAAGGGCTCCTAAGTACAAAATATTATAAGACTATTACTAAGAAGCTGCTTAGGAGAAAATTACATGGATGTTCTGAGTTAATCTTTTGATAATGGCATGTAGTTTAAACTTCAAGTTGATGGTAATTCTTAGAACTAATGACAAATATGACAGCTGAATTTCTCTCCAGTTTCTAAGTAGTGTTTTGACTGAAACAGCTAGTGAAATGAGTTTAAATATATTTTGAGAAGTACTGTTCTCTGTTTGGAAGTTCTGAGCATGAACTGTTTGTCAGAGAGAGAATAGATGGGTTATTTAGCAGATACTTTGAGTTCATTTGAATTTGGACTCCACAGAGGCTGTTCCCCTAAGTAAGAAGGGGAGGTTGTTCCACCATAGCATGTTTTAAATGAATAAATGTTCTTTCCCTCTGCCCCTTGAAACATCATGTTTTGTTCTGTTGCTCTCACATTCCAGACTCGACATTCAGTTCCTACTAGAAATGCTATTTAGGAAGGAGAAGGAGTAGATAGAACCCTTTAATTTGCTTCAAAAGAAATGAATAACCTGCTTGTCATGAGTGCTGAACTGGTACTGCAACAATCCTTTCTTGGAAGAAGTCTCTGGAAAAACTTGTTCCCACTTATTATGTACTTGTGAACGTAAGAGGGTTTTTTGGCCCTAAACTGATTGAAAATGGATATCAAGAGGAAAAACAGCTGTTTACTTGATCTTGTAATATCCCTGTTAACTATATATTCTTTGTCAAACTGTGGCTGCTGTGTGTACTGTAAGGAGATACGTATCATTAACTGTCAATAATCTAGGTGAGATTTTGCCATTTTTAAGTCGCCTTGTCTTCTCAAGATTTCTGCACTGTTTGCACTGAGATTTTTGCACCATTTTCTTAAAAAAACACTTAGTGCTTGTTCACATGTTCTTGTTCATGGTTTTTAATTGCTGCAAAAGTAATTTTCTTTTTTGTAACTCATATTGAGTTCTTTCAAATTTTGCTCCAGAACATACAGACCAGTAATTTCTATTTGTAGTAAAAAATGAGTAACTGCACTAGCACGCAGACTGTATGGGAAGTTATTTGTATGATAGAAGTAAGACTAAATGCTCGAAATCAGCTATCTGTTTTAAGGATAAATTGTAAAGCCAGTATTTTCCTGTTAGCTGACACTGTAATGTGTATTTATGTAGTGGATTTGCATTTCGGTGAACTTAGAATTGTTTTTTGAGCTGGTATAGAGATGTCTGCGGTCAGAAATTTCTTCCAGTGTGATAAAATATTGCTTGTAAGTGAAATGTGAAGATACTATAGAATACTATACAGTGTTAGGACAGGAAACAAACATGACCAGATGAGGGGTGACTCTTCCGGCAATTTTTGTAGATTGTATGTTGACAGTTAACTCAAATTTATCTTAGCTATGGCATAGCTATTTCTGAAGTATGAAATGAGGATGTGTGAAGGTAATTCAGGTAAGCCTAAGGGAATATTCTTTTTTTTTTTCTTGTCCATTCTAGTTAAATGACCTGTTCTCAGACTTGGGCAAGTCTTTTAAAATACAGAAAAACGGATATGAAAACCTAAAGCTGATGCAAATATACAGGAAAAGTCACAACTTCCTGCTACGTTTTGCGGGTCTTCCTGCTTTCTTAGTGCTTAGATGAAAGTCATTAGAATCTAAGTTGTATTAGAAGTTCTGCTACCTGCAAAATATTTCGGACATTACTATAGTAGACCAGAATTTGGAGGAAGTAAAAGAAACACTTTTTTTTAACAAGGATTTTGTAGTAACTTTACATTGCTATTGAATCAGCTCTTTGAATGCTGATCTTAATTCAGACAAGTGTTTTGTAAACTGTAACTTTTTATCCATAGATTTAAATGAGGAGGAAGAAAAAAAGAAACAGAAAAGAAAAAGCAAAGAAAAAACAAAATTAAAGAGACCGAGGAAAAGGTAACTCTATCACACATCTATTTTAATTTCAAAACAGAAATTTTGAAATATTTCTGATATTTGGGTTGTTTCACACAGAACATTGATTCTTTTGATGCAATTTTATTTGCAGGTACATCTTTGGTTTGAAAAGCTTCCTGTTTTCCAATGAGAAATTGTGTGTTTGAGTAATGGTAAAGCCACAGGCTTTCTGCTGTGGAGTTAGGACCATGGAAGTCTAGAAAGCTCTAGTAATCCGGAGGTCTGTAGGTCTGAGAAAGCAATGCTCCCTCTGACTATCCAGCACGAGGCAAGATGTGGTAGGAAACGAACAAGGAGTCAGGAGGATTATGGGTTTGGTCCCCAGCTTAGCTCGCATGGAAAAGCCTCCCTGCAGTTCAGAGACCCTAAGACTCCCTGTGTGCACACATGCATGTGTAGACACATGTACGCACTCTGAGTAATGTGTAACTGTCAAAAGGAAAACTTCTGTAGTTTTACTTAGCATGCGTTGAGTTTTAATGTTGCTGTTGTTGTGGGGCCTACAAAAAGGGTTACTCCAGTTTCAAGGGAAAATGTCAGAATACGGAAATTTATTGTGAATCTGATTTTTTGCCTGCTGTCTGATTTTTTTTTTGTTTGTTTTTTAGATGAGACTATAGGCTGCTTAGTCATTATGACTGTTGATGAGACAGTATCCCAGGATCAGCACTGAGAGCTAGGAAGTGTGTAATGTATTTGGAAGCCATAGTAGGATGTTTTTTCCGAAATAAGGAAACAGGATTAGACTGGTTGTGTTGGCCTTCCTCCCCTTGCTTATTTACATAGTAGATCTAACTTACATTTATGAAGGCAGTAGACAAGAGTCAGTCTTCTGGCTGTAGCCTTTACATGCAGATAGTTAATCATGTAAACAACAGCACAAAACTGCCCTCTTGAGTATAATAATTGTGACTTTTATTGTCATCTTAATTCTTGTTTGTATATAATCACTCATCGCTGCTGGTTAGAGACCAATATTACCAGCTGCAAGAGCATCCAAATTTGTCATACCCATTTCTCTTAGATTTTTGCATGAGGGAAGTGCACTAAGATTTGTCTGAAGGCATTACTGTAGCATTGTTATTGATCATGTGATACTTGTAAAAGCTGGAAGCTCTAACTTACTGTCATACTTTCAGTTTTCTGCCGGTCTATACTCTTAGACTTTTTATTACTGACGAGTGAAAACCAGACAACTTGCCTATTCCATTGTGAATTAATCTGTATTATAAACATACCATTTTTCTGGCATAATAGTCTAATTAGAAAAGTCGTTGTTCAGTTGAGCGTGCACACTGAGGTATCATGAGCTTTCCAGTGGGTGTTACTGTACGAATTCTACACGGAATTTGATTTGTGATTTTATATAGAAACTGAAATTTTAAATAAAAGCGTTATTCTTGTGGCATTTTCCTTCTTTAATTACATATCAAACTGTATATATATATATTTTTTTTTTTACTAGGTCTTCATCATCAAAAGTAGCTGAAGAGGATGGACCAAAGTCAAAAAAACAAAAATCGCACAAAAAAGAAAGGGAAAAGGAAAAAAAGAATAAATCAAAGAAAGGAAAACATCATAAAAAGGAGAAAAAGAAGAGACGAAAGGAAAAAAGTTCATCTTCTGATAGTTCAGACAGTTCTAGCAGTGACTGAGGTGCTGGCCTACTTTTGTGTTCACTTCTGCCAAGAAGACGATTTTCCTTTCAAATCAACTCTTATTTACGCTTGGCAATGTTGTTGTTTTAAAATGAGATATATATATTTTAAGAAATCTATTTGAAAATATCAGTGCTTCAAATTATTAAATGGACCATTTGGGTAAAAAGTCTGCTCTGCTATTTTAAGTTTATTAGTACTAAACTAGTTTAACTAGTTCTTCACTCTTAGCTCAGTTGTGATGAGTTGTGTTTGGAAGCCTTTACACTAGGATGTGGTAAACTTCAGTTTGCAAGTCTTTGTGTAGAAAGAGTTGGACTTAAATATGCATGATGTCAGAATGGTTAAATCAAATTTGGAAGTTAAAGTGGTATTTTTTATTATGTTGTCCTTTAAATAAATGTATGTTTTGCATAATATTTTCTAGTTATGTACATTAATCACTAAGTGCAAATATGAAATAGTGTTCGCGTCTGTAGAAAGGAAAGTATCGGGAGTGAGAAGCCAAAAAAGGTTGCTCCTTCAAAATTATCTTCCTAAATTGATCCAGTCATAGACCGTGAAACACAATTACTCTTTCTTTTTGTAGGATTGCTGGGAGCCAGCCAAAAAAAACCAAAAGCAAACAAAAGCTATGAATTTTTTGAAGTCCTTTCTTTCTGTCTAGGTTTTATTATTTTATAATTACAGCCTTTTCATCTTGGACATAGATGTAAAGTGCCACTTCCTGACACTAGATGACTGTCCAGAAAGATTGTTTACAAAGTTCTAAGAATGATGTTAATATGGTATGTGGTGATTAATGCCTACATGAAATCTAATTTTTCATGTCGTATATCATGGTGTCTGGGATGGGCTTGGATAATATAATTGAAGAGAGACTGCACTCCTTAATTAGCTGATACCTCTGCATAATATAGGAACATTTATTTTGTAAGTACTAATTTAACAGATTCTGCCACCGTGTTCACTCTAGTCTCCTTAGTGTTGCTGTGGCTGTTAGAGCCTGGGTTAATTCTCTAAGCCAGTCATTCTGTAGAGAGCATCAGAGGAGTTGTGGGCTACTTAAGCCTGTATTTTGGCGAAAAAAAATCTTTAAAAAAGCCACATCTTAAAACACAACTCTGTGATTTTTTTTTTTCCCCCTAAAATATTCCTTACATAATGAGATTGGAAGGGTTATTGGAGTTAGGGGAATTCACAACTCGTGTGTAATTCTCCCATGATCTTCCCATGATCTTCTGATAATCCCATGATGCCAACTCTAGGGAATGGGGGTTTGTAATTTATTTGCTTCTTGATTTTTGAAAGCTTCATCTGAAGATGAACTGAAGGGAAATTTTACTGACATTTCTATATCAGAATGGTTGAAGAGTTTATTAAACAACCCTTATTAAAGTTAGTATATCTCTATGCATAATTTATCCATCAAACTATATTTAATGACAAATTAGAGAAAGGCTAGAGGGGTAAAGTTCAGAAAAACAATTGAGATATGTTTTAGTAGTGTTCCTTATACTTTTCAAATAGCTATTTTAGATTCTAGTTCTAACAGTTGAAGTTTAAAGACTGCCTATCTAAGTGATGGTGCAATTACCTTCCATGTAGCATTACAGCAGCTGTTTATGGTAGTTACAATGGTATTTTGTACAAGACTGTAGGCCATGAATTTCAGTGTTCAGATTTTGCCACTTGTTACAAGTGTACATAGATTTTTATACTGGAAAAAGGTTTTTCTAATTTGAACAATTTAAATATAATTATTCTCTCATTTCATGCATTCAAGTAACAGAGAATATCACATCAGCTTATTTTTCAGGCCATTTTCCCATTTTATTTACAAAGTGTACATTAAAGTCAATAGATTTTAGCACAGAGATGCTCAGGATTTCAGGTGTATTAACTGATATATCTAGGAGATGCTGCACTTAACAGATTTCCACAAAGTTAATATTTGCTGATCCTTAAAAGTGATATTAGAATATTGTTGTTTTTCTTATTTAATTTAGCCATATTTTTAGTGAGTCTGATGTGTTGTAGCAAATGTTATTGTTTCACTTGAGTCTCAGCATGAACCAAAATGCCTACTCTGGTTCCAGAAGAAGTGACATTCAGCAGATTTAGGTATCAAAACAAGACTTGAAATATTAAAACTTGACTATTTCTTCACTCCTATGGTTAGCTTCAGTTTTCATGAATCACACTTTCAAGGGCAATGCCTGATGTAACTGCTGCTGTTGTACTGGCCCAAGATACTGATTGTATGCCTGCTACTCAGCAAGCACCGAAGATCTTACAATATGAAGGTGATACCAGTACAAACAAGAACTGTTGTTCCCCGGCGACTTATCTCAGTTACAGGATGAAATGCCTATTTTCAGAAAGAATTAAAAAAGAACGCAGAAGTGTCGCATATGGGGTGGGATGAAGAAAAGAAATGAAGGCAAGGGCGTGCCAAATTCATAGAGTAATGAAGAGTCAACAGCCTCTGTACACCTTACAGTAAGCTCTGGGAAGCAAATCAATGTCTGTCAGTAGGCACCAGGAAACAGAGAACTGATGTTTCCTGCGTCTTTCCCAAATAGCAGAAGAAAATTGTGTGCGTCTGCAATCCAGCTACTAGCTGGGGAATGGACTGTACTATAAGATGCACCAAATGCTAGAATCACTAAATCAAAGCTGAGTGAAGTAATTGTTTTACAAATAGCTAAAGGAAATGTACATTCACAGCACAAAAATTACAGCTTCACCATTCTCTGCAGCATGTGAGACACCATGGAAAACCCTTTAGTCTCTCATGGTGTAGAGCATGTAATGGAAAGTTATTTTTAGCACAATCAGATAAGTTTGTATATGTTTTGACTGAATTTGAATACATAGATTGTCAGGGAGGGTGAACAGTAATAGTTTTCTCTTTGGAGTTTGCTGAAGTTACACTTCTATGCTTAGTAGTATTCATGATATTCAGACGCATATTCAGAGGCGTTTCATCAATATGAAGATACTTGTTATCTTCATGATCTCTTGAACTTCTGAAGTATTTTAGTTGCTACTAACATCAGTTTGTAACCTGAGAAGAGTGAAGTGGAGCTAAATTTAAAAGAAAAATAAATTTGGAGTGATACAGTATTATTACACAACTCTACCACAAAAGGGTTTTGTCTTTTTTCTTTCGACAATAAATCATAGTGAGGAATGGTAATATAGCTAAGATTTGCAACACGGCAATTATAGCTAGAAAAAGTTGCAGTGTCTGACTATGAACTTGGAACAGACTGAGTAACCTTTCAGGTTTGATGTTTAAGGAGATCAAAGCTGCTGAGGTAATCAATGTGTATTGAACTCTGTATTTACTCAGTGCTTTTATAGTTGACAACAGCAAAGCAAGACATCACTGCAGGTCATCTGAGCTGGTGCTTGTCTGTTTTGTACAATAATTAGTTCCAGACACTTCTGAGCTGCATTTTCAGCAGTTCATCTTTTGCAGTTCCCCGCATATTCTCTCCCCAGTCAAAAAGTGAGCAATGTGTATCTATGCAGAACAGAATGTCAAGTATCACAAACCTTTTAGCTCAACTGATTATTCAGTAGTGCCCTGCAGTCTCCACAGTAGAGACAGCAGTGAAGCTGTTAGAAAGTGTTTCTGACATCACCACATCTTGGGGACTCACTTATCCTAACTTGTCAAAATTGCTGTACGTCAGAGACTCCTTGTTTAGGCAAAACACACGCTGAGTGCCTCTTGCCACGATTCCTCTGCCTCAAAGCAGTAGTACCCAAGAAGAGCATTAATGGAGATTCTAAGCTGCAAATCACAATAAATAAGAACAGGATTGGATAGAAAACATGCCAAAAAAGCTTCGATAATAAAAATGCCAGAACACCGAATCTATTCACAAGAAGTTGTAGTATAATAATCATGAAGATAAATGTAGGAGATAAAGAAGAATATGAAATGAGATGGTGGTAGCAGAAAATAAACAATTGCAGAAGAGGTACAAGAATGAAGAAACAAGACAGATTAGAGAAAGGCAAGTACAAGGATGGAAAAGATACAAGCAGTCTAAACCAATGATTATCCAGTACAGGAAAATCCTTTCCTGCCAAGAGTATGATATATTTTTACGTTAAAAACTTGATAAACTATTTGAAAAAGAAGGCAAGAGGGAAATGTTTGTCTAGAAATGCAAATATTCTCTGAAGATGTTGTCGTTCCAAGTAACAGCAATAAGGGAGAAAACTCTGTAATAGAAACAGGCTATTTAGTAGAGTTCATTTAAATTCTAGTGTAGTATTCAAAGTGTGACTAACTACTGTTTACAGTTTTCTGTATAAGCTAAATATTTGTCCTACTGAGAAAATGTACGGTGAACGAGAATGATTAATCCGTATTTATCTGTATTGCATATAAATATTCCTGAGACTTTAACTTAGTGTAGTAGTTTATCCTGGCAGAATTTTGACTGTCAGAGAATATCAGCAAAGAATTAAAATGAGCTGTAAGAAACACACTGTATAATAAGTGTGTGAATATTGCCTTAGCATCCTTTTGTCCCAGTGCACTTTAAAGTTTAGTAGCTATAAGCCACCTTTATGGATCCTCAATTCTAAACTTGCACGACAATAGTATGCAGTGATATTCTGAGGATACAGTTTGCAAATTACAGTGTTTATCTATATAGAACTCCTACACTTGATTATAAAAAACTAAATATAGCTGATTTTGGGGACAACTCAAGTTGGTAAAGTCAGTATTTCAACCTTTGCCACACCGTGATCCCTAGAAAATGTCTCCCACCCACCTGCGTTTAGCCTGGCTCAGCTCTTTTGACGTAGAAAAGGAAGGTTCTGGTGGTAAAGGGTAGGATTTCCTGCCTGTCAGCCTGTGCCTTCAAGGTGCTGGAACTTAAGCAGGAGCACAAACTTCCTGAAATAATGCTACAAATGCTACAAAAAGTGACAGAAGTGACTCAGGACTGAGTAGGAGCAGAAACAGA